GAGACGGCCGATATCGCGATATATCGTGAGGGCAGAGGGAGGGAACAGCCGGTATCGCGCGGGATCCCCGCGGTGACGCGGTGTGAGTGCCCGCAGGTGATCGCGTACTCCCGGCACCGGTACCGGATCCTGGGCGAGACCCTGGACGTGGCCGTGGGGAACTGCATTGACCGCCTGGCCCGGCTGCTGCAGGTGAGCCACGCCCCTTCGGGCCACGCCCTTCCGGCCACGCCCGGCCAGCCATGCCCTCGCTGACCCCACCCCTTTTCCCACAGATCCCAAACGCCCCCAGCCCCGGCTACAACGTGGAGCAGCTGGCCAAGAGGTGACCCCAAAATCCCCCTGAGGTTCCTCGGGAGCCTCTGGGAACCCCCAGACCTCCCTGAACTCCCCCAAATTCCCCCTGAGTTCCTTTGGGATCCTCTGGGAACCCCCAGATCTCCCTGAACTCCCCCAAATCCCCGCCGCGGGACCCCAGGGGCCGCCGGCTGATCCCGCTGCCCTACGTGGTCAAGGGTCTCGACGTCTCCTTCTCGGGGCTCCTGTCCCACCTCCAGGTACCCCCAAATCCGCTGGGGAGGGGCCCAGAGCGCCCCGAGGGGGGCTGGGAATAGCGGGGAGACCCCGAATCGATTTTTGTGCCCCCCAGGCTGTGACCCCCAAAGTGCTGGGGGCGGGGGAGGCGACGCCGGAGGATTTGTGCTTCTCCCTGCAGGTGGAGGGGCTGAAAAACGGGGTTTGGGGGGGATTTGGGGGTTTGGGGGGGATTTTGGGGGGTTCATTGGGGTTTGGGGGGGATTAATTGGGGTTTGGTGTGAATTAATTGGGGTTTGGTGTGAATTAATTGGGGTTTCTGGGTCCCCAGAAGGAGTTTGGAGTGGATGTGGGGTGCTTTGGGGCATCGCTTTGCGTTAACGGGGTTCTGGGAGCATTCCCGGGAGGGGTTATGAGGATTTTGGGGTAATGAATGGGGTTTGGAGGATTTTAGTGGGGTCTTGGGGCGATGCGGGGAGCTCAGGAGGGGCGGGGGGTTTGTGCCCGGGGCTGGCGGTTTTGGGGTGATGTTGAGTCCCGGGGGGGGCTGCGGGCGGGGGTTGGGGGTTGGGGCGCTGACGTTTTTGGGGCGGGGGGCGGAGGCGG